TATCACCGCACGAGGGTGCAGTACATGCATTGGCAGGTGGCCCCAGATTTGCACGGTTCAACACCTGCACGTGTTCGCTGTGCGTAGCGAGACAAGTGGGGAAACGCGCGGGCTCAATGCCCCGTGCAGCAGCGCTGAGGATGACGTCGTCGCCGTATGCTAATGAGATGCTCTGTGACGTCACAGAGCACCTCGTGCGCTGCAGGTTCGAGAGAACTGTAAAAGCGCGGCACTTTCACGGCAATAGGCGACAGGGGCAATAATTTATCTCGACAGCAGCATAGGAGGACGGCCTTCGGTCACGATTATCCCGCGCACACAACCCAGCCGGGCTGCTGAGTGTGCTGTTATGATTATGCAAGCTTTAGCAGTCTCTTAACTTACAACCCCCAGGGGTGTGGCAGCATTATTAGTCAGACCCTGGGTGTCAATTGCAACAGCAACGTTTGCTTAAGTTACTATCACGTTGTGATTAAAATACAGTATACTGTATTATAAATTACACAATTACCATTGCATTGACATCAGGTTTGCGCTGGGCTGCATTAAACATATTAAGATAATTCACTTAAGTTTCCGATGTAAATAAATGGCAATGATCACTAAAGGTGTGTAATAAAATCGGCCACTAGCCTTGATTCATGAGAAGAATCACAGGTTAAGAAGACTTCTTACTTAACCAACTTATGACCGTCCGACTTACGAACATCCGCACTTACGAACCAGCTTCCACGAGATATTTTTTTTTAAATCGACTTGCAAATACAAACTCACACTTGCGAACTGAACCGCGATACACTTTTATTTCAGCGGAGCGATCCTCTGCGAGATGTACTGAGTCACAGCATCCCGCTGGGAGCGAGCGAGTGTGCAAGCGTTCGATCCCCGCTCACGGTCCTGGGCCTCCCCTAGGTCGACTCAGACTCAAACGAGCACCTGGTGCGGTGCGTAAACATCGCCACTGGGGAGACAAAGGCGGCCGGGCGTGGTGCTGGCCACCCACCGCCTCGTGTGCCGTGCCGGCGTTTGTAGGTGCTGCCCGCTAACAGCACTTGCACCCCACAGCCTGTTCAGACAACACGGGGGATCTTTGTCACTAGGGTGTCTGTGTGCGTGCGCGCCCTGTGTGTGTACAATTGTGGTCACTCAATGCGCCCCCCTTCTGACAAGCAAGCCAGCATCAGAACTCAGGTAACTTATTTGTTTCTATTTATGTTTTAAATATTCTACAGTATGTATTACATCGTTACATGCGTGTACAATTTTTTTTCTTATTTATAAGTTCAACAACGCTCCTCTTTAATGTTCAACCGTATCACATTTTATGACACTGAACGTGAGTGCATTTAAACACGGTACAACCCATGACCCGTTCGACTTACGAACGGGTCTCAGGGAACGGGGCACGTTCGTAAGTCGAGGACTACTCCTATTTTTTTCTGGAGCTTCTAAACGCCCAACCACCCGGGGATATATTTTCCGCAAGGCTGTAATTATAATAAATATATTTAAATATGCTCAAAATGTGCCCCCCAATATATTGCGATAAAAAATTGCTATGCTATGTCAATAAAAACAACAATTTGCTAGACCTTGGCCACAATATCTTGACTTGTCTTCATATAAATCAATGCATACATTTCTGTTTATATGATTGTGGTTATGGTTGTACTTTATTAATCCCTAATCTCTGCCATTACATACAATGAAATAAGAAATGGTTAAAAAGTAAAAACAGAGCAATGTAATACGAAAAATTATTAGACATTATTGTAAAAAATAAATAAAAAGTCCTTTCCATGTGTTAGTGGATTTTTTTAGATTTTAGCCAGGAAATCAGTTTTCAAATGTAGATCTTTTTCTGCGTTGGGACCCCCAGACACCCTGGAAGATTTTGTGCCCCCCAATGTTGACTCCATGGCTACGCCCTTGATTTTCCGGTACTCGGTTTCGGGCAGCTCCGGTCACAAGCAATCCATGCCCTGCCCCGACTCTCGCCCCCTGCATTAGACCCACGGGAGTTGGCCGGTACCAGCTGGGGTGGCAAATGCTTCTCTGGTCTCCACGATTGGCAAGTAAAGCACCTTAAGCAGTGTCCACCATGTGCCCACCATGGGCAGATGGCATAGCGTACTTACCTGGTTCACTGATACACTTGTTAGTGACTTTCATATTGCGTACTTGTTAGTGACTTTCATATTGCGTACATGTTTCACGTCACATTCGTTTGTTTTCCCCGCAAAATTATATTCTCCATCAAACATACGGTACCTTCCTTAATCCGGTACACTTTGTCACCATATTTTCTTATACAATGCTACCAATAGGACCTTGCTATCACAGGTATTTGTGACCTTACGATGATATTCTACGGGAAAATCATAATAAGCATTTGCCACCCACCGTGGTACCGACAATGTAATTCACTCGCTCATCGCACGCTGAAAACATTCGCTCCGGCTCACACTCCATCACTCATCGACCACACGCTCACCGCTCAATTTCACTCTCACCACACTCACCCCATAACTCTCACCACACTCACCAATCACTCTCACCACACTCACCCATCATCACACTCACCCATCATCACTCTCACCACACTCACCCATCATCACTCTCACCACACACACCCATCACCCTCACCACACTCACCCATCACCCTCACCACACTCACCAATCACTCTCACCACACTCACCAATCACTCTCACCACACTCACCCATCATCACACTCACCCATCATCACTCTCACCACACTCACCCATCATCGCTCTCACCACACTCACCCATCATCACCCTCACCACACTCACCCACCACACTCACCACACTCACCCATCATCACTCTCACCACACTCACCACACTCACCCATCACTCTCACCACACTCACCACACTCACCACACTCACCACACTCACCACACTCACCACACTCACCCATCATCACTCTCACCACACTCACCTATCATCACTCTCACCACACTCACCCATCATCACTCTCACCACACCCACCACACTCACCACACTCACCGCACTCACCCATCATCACTCTCACCACGCTCACCCATCATCACTCTCACCACACTCACCACACTCACCACACTCACCGCACTCACCGCACTCACCCATCATCACTCTCACCACACTCACCCATCATCACTCTCACCACACTCACCCATCATCACTCTCACCACACTCACCCATCATCACTCTCACCACACTCACCCATCATCACTCTCACCACACTCACCACACTCACCACACTCACCCATCATCACTCTCACCACACTCACCCATCATCACTCTCACCACACTCACCCATCACCACTCTCACCACACTCACCCATCATCACTCTCACCACACTCACCCATCATCACTCTCACCACACCCACCACACTCACCCATCATCACTCTCACCACACTTACCCATCATCACACTCACCACACTCACCCATCACTCTCACGACACTCACCCATCATCACACTCACCCATCATCACTCTCACCACACTCACCCATCACTCTCACCACACTCACCCATCATCACTCTCACCACACTCACCCATCACCACACTCACCACACTCACCCATCATCACTCTCACCACACTCACCCATCATCACTCTCACCACACTCACCCATCATCACACTCACCACACTCATCCATCATCACTCTCACCACTCTCACCCATCATCACTCTCACCACACTCACCCATCATCACACTCACCACACTCACCCATCACTCTCACCACACTCACCCATCATCACACTCACCACACTCACCCATCATCACTCTCACCACACTCACCCATCACTCTCACCACACTCACCCATCATCACTCTCACCACACTCACCCATCACCACACTCACCACACTCACCCATCATCACTCTCACCACACCCACCACACTCACCACACTCACCGCACTCACCCATCATCACTCACCACAATCACCCATCATCACTCTCACCACTCTCACCCATCATCACTCTCACCACACTCACCACACTCACCCATCATCACTCTCACCACACTCACCACACTCATCCATCATCACTCTCACCACACTGACCCATCACCACTCTCACCACTCTCACCACACTCACCCATCATCACTCTCACCACTCTCACCACACTCACCCATCATCACTCTCACCACACTCACCTATCACCACTCTCACCACACTCACCCATCACTCTCACCACGCTCACCCATCACTCTCACCACACTCACCCATCACTCTCACCACACTCACCCATCACTCTCACCACGCTCACCCATCACTCTCACCACACTCACCCATCACCACTCTCACCACTCTCACCACACTCACCCATCATCACTCTCACCACACTCACCTATCACCACTCTCACCACACTCACCCATCACTCTCACCACGCTCACCCATCACTCTCACCACACTCACCCATCATCACTCTCACCACACTCACCCATCACTCTCACCACACTTACCCATCATCACACTCACCACACTCACCACACTCACCCATCATCACTCTCACTACACTCACCCATCATCACTCTCACCACACTCACCCATCATCACACTCACCCACCATCACTCTCACCACACTCACCCACCATCACTCTCACCACTCACCCATCATCACTCTCACCACACTCACCCATCACTCTCACCACACTCACCCATCATCACTCTCACCACACTCACCCATCATCACTCTCACCACACTCACCCATCATCACTCTCACCACACTCACCCATCACTCTCACCACACTCACCCATCATCACTCTCACCACACTCACCCATCATCACTCTCACCACTCACCACACTCACCCATCATCACTCTCACCACACTCACCCATCATCACTCTCACCACACTCACCCATCATCACTCTCACCACACTCACCCATCATCACTCTCACCACTCACCACACTCACCCATCATCACTCTCACCACTCACCCATCATCAGTCTCACCACGCAGGGCACGTAGGGCAAGCAGCTCACCTTGCCCGGCACCCCGCGGTGGTCCGTGCTGCCCTGCCAGAACCTGCGGCTGTAGTCTTTGATGTGGCCCACCAGCTTGGTCTCAAAGGGGAAGTCCACCTTCCACACCAGCGAGCCGTAGCCGAAGATCCACATGTCTCTGTGTCGTGCCTGTGGGTGAGGTGGTGAGTGTGTGTGGGGAATGTGTGCTGTATGTGAGAGGGTGAATAGGTCGTGTGAGTGTGGTGAGTGTGGTGTGAGCGGTGAGTGTGGTGAGTGTGGTGTGAGCGGTGAGTGTGGTGCGAGTGGTGAGTGGTGAGTGTGGTGTGAGCGGTGAGTGTGGTGTGAGCGGTGAGTGGTGAGTGTGGTGTGAGCGGTGAGTGGTGAGTGTGAGCGGTGAGTGAGTGTGGTGTGAGCGGTGAGTGTGGTGAGTGTGGTGTGAGCGGTGAGTGGTGAGCGGTGAGTGGTGAGCGGTGAGTGAGTGTGGTGTGAGCGGTGAGTGTGGTGAGTGTGGTGTGAGCGGTGAGTGTGGTGAGTGTGGTGTGAGCGGTGAGTGGTGAGCGGTGAGCGGTGAGTGGTGAGCGGTGAGTGAGTGTGGTGTGAGCGGTGAGTGTGGGGAGTGTGGTGTGAGCGGTGAGTGGTGAGCGGTGAGCGGCCCGAGTGTCCAGCCAGCGAGTTGTTGTTGTTGGTGAGGCGAGCGATAAGAGACGTACAGCCGCCGGTGAGCGCACCGCGTCAGCGGTAGGCGAGTTGGGTGTGAGAGCGTGGCGCGTGGTGAGAGCGTGGCGAGTGGTGAGAGCGTGGCGAGTGGTGAGAGCGTGGCGAGTGGTGAGAGCGTGGCGAGTGGTGAGAGCGTGGCGAGTGGTGAGAGCGTGGCGAGTGGTGAGGAGGAGTGTGGTGAGGAGGAGTGTGGTGAGGAGGAGTGTGGTGAGCGGAGAGACGCCGGGTGAGAGCCGGCCCCGTAGGCCGTCTCAAATCAATAGAGCGGATCCGCCCCGGGAAGCCCCCGGCGCCTCACGCGATTGGTCCACCCGGCCAACGAAGAGACTGGCGTGGGTGGACGATACCATCCGCTCGCTACACCAAGGGGTGAAACATCCGCTATTTAGTTTTATTTATTTTCGTATTATCCAAGTTGATTTATATAATTAGCTAATATATTATAATTGTATAAGTAAATTACATTATATACAACGGTTTAAAGTGAATTAGATTTCCGTATAATTATTGTTCTTTGAAATTACACCCCAACCCCCCCCCCCCGTAAATGGCCATTGGTTTGGCTGCTCCTACCGCGGGTGAGAGGGAGCGGTCTACGTATTTAAATTGGGTCTTCACACCCCTTCAGTTCGAGTTGAACCGGAAAGGGCCAATACGATGGTGTGAGACTCTGACCCTCCTGGCATTCACCTCGCATGGAGAATTCCCCAGGGTCCCCTAACCCCCAGCCCCGCTCATGACGGGTGGGAAATTAGGGTGGGGGAACGTTTTCCGGAGCTTATCCCCGGGCAACTCCAGCTCGAATTAAGCCCTGGCCAGACCCAAGCTTTTGTATTTTTCAAATTGGGTTGTATGCATAATAAAGGTTTTTGGGTTAGATCGCGTAAGTATAAATGAGTCGTAACCCTCCACCACCCGACAGACAATTAGTAAGGGATTTGTTACGTAAACAAGATACAAATTATATTATATCTTAGTTTTTTCGGTAAAGTCACGTTGAAGGGAAACAACAAAATAATAAAATATATATATAACAATAAAAAATTCTCACGACGTTTCGACCATAACTCAAACGGTCATCTTCAGGTGTGTTGGTTTGCATAAATTTATTTTTAAACGGCGCATTTATTTATTTATTTATTTAAAAAAAACCATTAGCGCCACGCGCAACGATCTGGCAGTTTATTTAGGACTAGTCCATCTATATTCTGAAAAGAGGAGGGGGGAGACGAAATTTGTTTTATAATGTATGCTGTCTGAAAGCCACTGTAAGCGTGAACAATCAATTAAGACCTGAAATGGTTTATCAAATCTTTCCAATGATTGCTAAGATAGAATCCATCTTCTCGGTTGAAATTGTCTCTGTGCTTGTATATGTGGATAGCCTCATGAACGAATCTCTCATGGAAGCCAGATGGCTTACAAAGAACCTCTGTCTTGGAAAAGTCAATGGCATGTGAGCCTACTGAATTAGAACAATGATCTGCCACGGCCTAGGTGTTGGTCCTACCGTGTTTAAGGTCTGTTTTTTTAAAATAAATAAATAAATGCGCCGTTTAAAAATAAATTTATGCAAACCAACACACCTGAAGATGACCGTTTGAGTTATGGTCCTCAACACTTTTAGATAGCACACCGGACGTGCTAAGCCAACTCGCCTCGCTTGGAACATCTTTCCAACTGGGGCAGATAAAGTACCCACTCTTGCTTTGGTAACAGTTGGTGGCAATCTCTAACCCTTTTGTACATATAAAAAAATAACTTAGCGATGAACAAATAGAAAACTGCTTTCGTTTGTCCTCTTTTCAATCCCATCACCGCTAACCAAAATCTTTGAGAACATTCTCAAGGCCCAAATTAACAATTACACCTCCACAAATGGGCTACTTTACCACAAACATTTTGCACAACTTTAGCGCAACTCGACTCCCTTAATTTGGTATTTAATAGACTTGACAATAGGCGATACTGTGTCATACTATTGCTTGACTTGTCCAAAGCCTTCAGTGGACCACGCCACTCTCTGAAATAGGCTTGAAAGTATCAATTTCTCCAGGTGTACAATCAACAGGTTCAATAGCTACCTTTCTGAGTGAAATCTGGTTGTTTCAGTCGAAATCCTGGCATCCGGAAAATACAAAATCGGTAAGGGAGTTCCACAAGGCTCAATACTTTGACCAATCTTCTTCCCCCTCGATGTCAATCATTGGGAATCCAACTTAAATACTCTCATATCAACACATTTTATTGATGATACTACAATAATGCTCGCTGGAAATTCACAAGAAGATGTATACCTTAAATTACAGTGATTTTGACCTCATTCAACATTCGCTGATTTGCCTCGATCGGTTCAGAATGCAAACAAAAGCAAAGTAATGATTTTTTTTCCCATGAGAGAAATCCTGCCATGTTTCCAACCCATGTACTATCTCTAGATAATAAACACATAACGAACGAGTGGAGGATTACAAATACTTAGACTTCATCATCGACTCTAAATTAAAGTTTTACTTCCACTTAGATTACATTGCAAAGAAGATTAAGATTCAAATTGGTTTCCTATACAGGCATCAAAACTGTATACCATCTATGCTATGTTTGGATATGGTAAAAGCTAACAATTCCGTCTTTTTATTGCTATTATGTCGTTTATCAGTTTGCTTCTGAGGTTGCATTAAAAAAGCTAAACTCCAACGTTCGGCTCTTCACTGTGCACGAGATGCTCTCTACAATATCCACCATTGTGACCTCTGTTTTGGTTTAAACTTTAACTCCCTCTGGACATAGATACATCCAAAGGGCTCTGTTTATTATAAAGGTTCTCTTGAAATGCATCCGCTAACTACTCTATGGATCTGTTTATCCCAAATAGAAAATAAACGAAGCCTTAAGCACTTCCCATACTAGCTCTTAAAAATCCCCAGGTTCGATTCGTTCTGCCGAAAGTAAGGCCTTCTGGGTGGCTGCTCCCTCAATGTGGATTCGCCATCGCATTCGGTTTGGGAATTCAGCAATGGCCGGCCATGAGAAATCTCCGTTCATGTCTGCAACTCAAGTACGGCCGAGAAGCATGAGGCCAAGTCTGTACGGGTCGTACTTAAAGTTCACTGTTCCTTATTGTGTGTGTGTTTTTTTTTAAACACATCCGATTAGCACGGTTGGCTATGTACAGTGCGAAAGAAGTTCAACATTTTTAATACCTTCTAGATTTGAAGCTTTCGTGACTGCACTGATTCATACCCACAAAGGACATTTTTTTCCTTTCTTAATTTTAGTTCAAATAAGAAAGTAGTCATCCTTTATATACATTGTTTACGTTTTCTCCCGTTCCCTGTTCATGTAACATACAAGCACGTTCCGATGCTTGCTGTTTATATCGTGATCTGTGTAACCATGACTGTAACGAAGATCTGTACTGTGTATTATGTAAAATCTGTACTATGTAAGATCTCTACTATGTAAAATCATCCGTACCGTCGCAGGACGCCCATGAAATATAACCTGATAGCTCATTGGGCCTTTCCTTCTGGAATAAATAAAATATATCTATCAATGAGTCTCAACACTTTAAGAAAGGCTCTGTCTTGTGGTGTTTGGCCAATACAAATTATTGTTTTAATCTTGCTTTCTTTTCCAAGTTTTATTCCACTTGCACTGGTTCATGCTATGAGATTGTGTCATTCCGAACTCTCAGAGAGCAGTGCATCTCCCCATGTGTTAGAGAATGTCCCACAGAAAGAGATATGACTAAACTACTTCTGAGATGCCATCAAATAACCTTTATTATCGACATGCAAAAAGGTGCATGTTCATACACTCTCTGTTACAGAAACATGTTACACACATGGTATTCTAACAGCTTATTGTTCATTCTCCACGGTTGAATTTGACAGGGCATGAAATGTTTTAGTTTTTTTTGTATTTAGTCATTGTCGACTTTACTGAGAGTATAGACTCACTCAACTTGAGAAACCAGTTTAATGATCTCAGCAGAATTGTCACATTGCTCAGAAACATTAAACAGAACTCAGGCATCTACTGTATGGTGGCCGATTCATTGTTGGATGAATGCCTTCCAAAGCCAACACCATCTCTCATCATCCAATGTGTGGAACGTCTTTTTTTGAGTGTTCAGAAAAAATCCGGAACAATCAAAGAATGCAAATGTTGGTTGAGCAGACTACTAAGAGTAATCACTGAAACCTTAAGTAATATCATTATCGGTGACGTATAAGCACACAGAACCTCACCAACGATAATAACCACTTAAAATTATGCAATGGCATCTACAAATGCCTTACACGAAAACGACATATAGTAGAACGTCATGATTGTGTTGGTACTGGCTTAATGAGAAAATCAGAGAGCAGACTAACACGATTAAAGAACGGCACTTCTTCAAAGCAGAGAGAAGGGAAATTGCGCAGATCAATAACCGACCTCTCTACGTATATACAGTTTATATGTTTAAAAAACTGAATACATTCGTAAATAACACTGCATTAAAAGTAAAAAAATTATCATTTGTAACGATTTGGGATATGTTCCTTCT